TGATGAATTCCCTGTTCCCTGGGGCCCTGGGCCTCCGGGCCTCCCAGAGGTGGGCAGAAGCTTAAGGGAGGGAGGGGCGGCAGAGCTGGGGCCCAGGCTCCCCCCCGACCCTGGGAGTCCCTGGAAGGAGAGGGGGGCGGGCTTTGGGAAAGGCCTGTCATTCACGCCGCACCTGAACGCCAGCTCCTCCTGGGCAGCCCAGGCCATACCCCTCACCTGTTCTTTGTGTTGCATTTAGCACCTTCCAGGAGGGGGTGTGTGTGGCCCTGGCTCTGCCTTGACACCCCCCCCTCCATGCAGGCCCAGGCATCCGGCAGGTAATTCATTGTCCCCCCCCACCCCCCTCAGGTGCTGCGACCTGAGGAGGAGGCCTGGCCTGCTTGCTCGTGGGCTGAGTCTTCGGGGCGGTGGCGTTGGTGCTGAACGATGGTCTGCACATGGGGCGTCCGCTGGGGGAGGTGGACACTACTCTTACTGCAGCAGAGCCACCCCCCTCCTGGAGCTCGGCCATCTTCCCCACCTTGTCCATCCAGAGGTACCCCACGCTCTGGGCTTTTCAAGCCAAGATAAGGTGGGGGTCCGCAGGGGTGGGGGGCATTAAGCCACAGTCCGCGGATCCCAGGAGGACGTCCCGTGACTGAGCTCACAGCCAGTCCTGGCTCCACACGCGGCGGTGACACCATTCCCCATTCCCCGCCATGCCGGCACCAGGCACTGTCCAGGTCCGCCCGGGATTTGGGTTGCCGGCCCTCACTCCACTGTTCCTTCAGCCCGTCCTGTGAGCTGGCAGGGCTGAGCAGCAGGCCGAGACTTGGGGGCCTTTGGAGCCGCTCACAGATGGCAGATGACAGGCGCAGGTGCCCTGATGACAGCGCAGGGCCCCTCCCAGACCCCCCCCCCAGGTGAAATGCGGCTGCTCCGCAGCCCGGAAGCCCCGCCCTCCCCTGCTCAGGCTGCCTGTCTCCTCCCTTCTTGCGGCTCCGTCCTCTCCTCCCAAGGCTGCACATTCTCCCCGCTGCTGGGTGCCATGGCGCTCCGGCAACACGGGCAGCTGCTTGTGTCGGCCCCTGGCGCCTCCGGATCCAGGAACCAGGGCGCCCTTTGGACCGTGCCCGCCTCCCCGCCCTGTCTGGTCCACGTCTCCGCAGTCTGCTCGCCTACTGTCCATCTGCCCCTGCCATGGCAGGGACCCTTTCTGAAAACCGCAGCAGGGCTGGGCGGCCTTGCGGCACAGCGGGTTAAGCCGCCGCCTGTGACACCCGCATCCCATATTGGAACACTGGTTCGAGTCCTGGCTGCTCCACTTTCGATCCAGCTCTCTGCTAATGCATCTGGGAGAGCAGCAGCAGAAGGCCCAAGTGTCTGGGCCCCTGCACCCACGTGGGAGGCCCGGATGGAGCTCCTGCCTCCTGGCTTCAGCCTGGCCCAGGCCTGGCTGTCGTGGGCATTTCCAGCCCATGGAAGGGGTCTCTCCCTGGCTCTGCCTTTCAAGTAGATGAAAAGAAACATTTAAAGGACCCCCAAAGCAGCGGGTGGCACCCTAGTGCCTTCCCGGATGCGGAGAGGAAGCCCAGCGTGCTCATCCTGGCCGCTGCCCGCTTCCTCCCCCAGCCCCTCTCCCTGGAGAACCCGGGGCCGGGCTCAGACCTCCCCAGGCCTGCCGAGCTCGGGGCTGTCTCCAGGAAGCCTCCGGGCGTCCCCCGAGGCTCGCGTCCCCTGTCCAGGGAAGGGCTCTGGGCCCCGTGCCCAGCCTCACTTCCTTCGCGGCACAGGGCCCGGCGTGGCCAGGGGTTTGCGCAACGACTGCTTGGCTGCGAACGGGCGGAGGGGGGCGTGGCCTCGCAGTGGAGGGGCGTGGCCTCGCACGGGGCCCTTGCCGCCGCCTCCTGGAATCTTGAGCGCTGCGCGGCTCGCCGCCGTCGGGCACATGCACTCGGGCTGCGGGTGCTGGAGCCGGCAGCAGCCACCCTGGGCACAGCCGAGGGGCCCGGAATGTTTTCTATTTATTTATTTAAGATTTATTAATTGGATAGGGAGAGACAGAGGCCAGAGAGGGCTCCCGTTACTGGTTCACTCCCCCAAATGCCTGCCGCAGCAGGGCTGGGCCAGGCGGAAGCCGGGAGCCAGGAGCTCCATCCGGGCCTCCCCCGTGGGTGGCAGGGGTCCCAAACTTGCTGCCTCCCCAGGCTGGGTACTCCAGCACCGCGGTGGCAGCTCACCCTGGAAGAGTCTTACCCATCTGATCGCATGACCAATAACAACTGTCGGTCATCAGCCTGGGGTACGGGAAGACCCCCGGCGAGTGGAGGAGCAGAATTCAGCTTCAAGGCCAAAACAGGTAGAAGAGCTTGTTCATGGGGCCGGCGCTGTGGCGCAGCGGGCAAAGCCACCGCCTGCAGCGCCCGCGTCCTATATGAATGGCGGATCGAGTCCCGGCTTCTCCACTTCCGAGCCTGCTCCCTGCTAATACGCCTCAGAAGGCAGCGGCAGACGGCCCGAGTGGGGAGACCCGGCTGGACTTCCAGGCTCCTGGCTTTGGCCTGGCCCAGCCCTGGCCATTGCATCCGTCGGGGAGCGAACCAGCAGATAGAAAACCTCTGTCGCTCTGTCTCTCTGTGTAACTCTGCCTTTCAAATAAATAAATAAATAAATCTTAAAAAAAAAAAAAAAGCTTGTTCTTAGCTTCCTGTTCCAGGCATGGTGGCAGTCTGAGAAGTCTGAGAAGTCTGAGACGCTAGTTAGGTTTCATAGAGCCTCGTAAATGTTTATATGGAAATTGCAACATCTGCAGTAGGCTGGAGATGACATCATGTACACCTACCCGAGTGCGAGCTTGGGCGACACAGTGTTGCATGTTAGCTTCAGTGTGTGTGTGTGTGGTGGGGGTACCCCGGGTCTGTGGAATTGCTTTAGGAGCAAGACGCCTGGAAAGCAGAGTGAGCTCCCGGCGACCAGGGCGCTTCAGAATGTTCCTACCGAAACCGAGTGAAAACGTAAGGTTATTTGGGTGCCGAGATAATCTGAAATCATGCATGAGCGGTGTTCAGAAAGTTTCCAGAAAAATCTGTATTGTCAAGAGACCGAGCTTGGAGATTTCAGAATGTTTTGCACCAAAATAAACTTAACTCTTTTTTTTTTTTTTTTTAATTTGAAAGGCAGAGAGCTACAGAGAGAGAGAAAAAATAAAAAACCTCCCATCTTCTGGCCCACTCTGCAAGCACCCACAGTGGAACCATCCCGGTCTCCCTCGTGGGGGGCGGGACCCAAGCCTTGGAGCCACCTCCCAGGGCGCGCATTAGCGGGAGGATTCCTGGGACTGGGGTGCGGGCATCCTGACCATTGCAGTCCCCTTGGGGATGTCTCCGCCTGTGTCAGTGTGGGTGGGCACGCGGGCAGAGCTGGCCCTCTGGGTGTCTACCCCCCAGACCCACGGCCCCCACCCCGGCCGATGGCACTTGCAGCCTTGGCGGTGGCACGTCTCTTTAGCGCAACCTTTGACCCACGTGTGGAATGCGAGGGGACCTCCCCCCAGCTCCATAGGAGAGAGGCTGCAGGTAAGTTGGCGTGTAGTTTCGGCTTTCCCACGCATTTCCCGCGGGCTTTCTGAAGCCCCCGCCGCGCGCACCGGGACCCCTTCGCGCCGGCCTCCCTGCCCAAGCCAGGGGCTGGCAGCCGCCGCCCGCCGAGCGCCAGGCAGTAAATCGCTGAGGCTTTGCGGGGCCCCACGGCCTGGGTGCTGACCAGCACGCCTGGCCGCGCGCCAGCACCGTCTCATTTACAGACACTAAGGAGTTTGCTGTCATTTTCACGCGTCCTGAAACGGGCTGCTTTCGCCTTTTTTTTTTTTTTTTTTTTTTTTTACCACTGAAAAAAATGCCCCAGCCGTTTTTAGCTAAGGGTCCAGACCACCAGGTGGACGGGGAGCTGTGATTTGCCAAACCCTCTCAACCCCAAGCCGGGAGGGATTGCGGATTTGCTTGCCCAAGCTGCTGAGCTGGCCTCCCTGCTGCCGGCTTCAGTCCCCATGCAGAGCGGGTCCTTTATGAGCGGAAGCCAGGCCCTGAGTCTCTGCCCAGAACCTCCCAGGGCCCCCAGCGCTCCCAGAGAAGGAAGCAAAGCCCCTGGCCCGGCCCCCAGGCCCTGCGTGGTGCTCCCCGCCTTCCATGCTCCAGGCCTCCAGCCAGGTGGGCCTCCTCACTGTGCAGTCTGCTCGCCCCAGGGCCTTTGCACAGCCTTTGCTGTGCCCAAGGAATGCTCTCCATCACCCAGATCAAAATCCCCTGTGAGGGCAGGGGGCCTGCCACAGTCCCCCGCCCCTGCCTGCCCCGTGCATGCTTTGTTTCTCTCCATGTCGCCTTCTAACATGGAGGAGACTGCAAAACGTTCATAGGAAATGGGATCGGAGTGAAAGTTTTATTTTGGTGCCATTTTTTTTTTTTGTTTTTTGAATCCATGCACTGAGGGGAGGGTCTTCAAAAAGTGCACGGAAAATGTGCATTAGGCAAAAACTGCACGGATTTCACAGTCGGGGGAGGGGCACTGAAATAAACTTGTCAAGTAAGGATATTTCTACTTTTCAACTCTGAGAGCCAGAGAGAGAACTCCTGGCTGCTGGGTTCACTCCCCAAAGCCAAGGAGGGCTGGGGCTGGGCTGGGCACTCGGCGGGCGGAGTCTCCCTCGTCTCCCACGCGGGATCTGCGTGAGCAGGGAGCCGAGTTTGAACCCAGGCGCTCTGGCGGGGCTGGGGGTGAGGGTGGGTGCGAGACCCTGTGCCCATCCTCGGATGCACTTTTAATTCCATTTTCATGGCCGTTTTCAAGTACCCCGTGCGTTAACCAGAACTATCTATTTCATTGGTCTCTAATTCCCCCACCCCCACTCCCGGCTGGGGTGTGCTCCCCACGTGGGCCAGGACTCTGGGCTGCCCTTCTGTGGCTGACTCCCCCAGAGCCCCGAGCCATGCCTGGCACGTGGCGGGAGGTGCCAGAGGCTACTGGCATTCTTGGCGGCCGCGATGTGTGCGCAGGCGCGCAGGGCTGAACTTACCTGCTTCCGGGTGGGGGTGGGCCTGGATGGGCGGCTCCTCTCCGCTGGGCAGCTTGCGTCCCCCAGGGCTGAGAGGCCCGGGCCTCCTTCCGGCTCCAGTGCTAGAGACGGAGAGAGAGCGAGCGCCAGACTGTGGGTCTGGGCACGCCCCGGGGATCGGCAGGTGTCAGGGACAGCTGTGTGTGGGGGTGGTCCCTGCTACCGTTCCCCTGACCCCTGGAGCGTGCACCCCGTGTGTCTCTGGGACAGGCCGTGTCTCCGGGCCTTGGCCTTCTCATCTGTAAAGGGGCGATGGGTATGGAACCAGGGACAGCCAGCACCCACGGGCGGTGGGAAAGGTTTGGGGCTCCTGGCAGAGGTTGGGGCGGCCCAGGAGGAGGGGTGGCTGCCGCCGGCGTGTCGTGCTGGAGCTTCTGGTGCTGTGGGGGCAGGAGTCCCGCTGTCAGTTTCTGACTTGGTGGTCCTGGCCAGGGCCAGGGCCAAAGCCAGAGCCTGAGCCGGCAGCCCTGTGCTCCCACAAAGAAGCCCATTGCCCGGATAGAACCCCCCTCCCCACCCTGCTCTTTCAGCCCCACTGGTGGCCGTAGCCTGTGACGGAGGTGTGCAGGAAGCTGCTGGCCCTGTCCAGGCCCCTCCGTGTGGCCGTCATCGTGTCCTAGGTGGGCAGAGGCTGGCACGTGGGGTCCTCAGCCCACGGAGGTGCTGCGCCCACACAGACCAGATGCATGCTGTATGGTCTGTGCCGCCCGCATCCTGTGGCCGGCAGGGGGCTTTGGGCCAAGGAGGCTGGGGCTTGGCCCCCGGCCCGGGCCCTTCCTGGCTCCTTGCCTTGGGCCGGGTTTCTAAGCCCCAGCCCTAATTGGGTCAAGGTCCTCGGCTACAGGGTCGGGGTGCGGGGGTGGGGGTGGAGGCTGGGGCGAGCTGACCCAGGGGAAGGGTCTCCGCACAGCCGCAAGGAAGAGGCAGGGGTCACCCTTGATGATGGCACTTGTGAATGAAGCGGGCCTGCGCAGCGCCCCCTCGCGGCCGGGACGTGCCCTGCGTGGTGCGCTCTGCAGAGCGCTGGCCAGCCCCTGCCTGGCCTGAGCCCGCTGTTGGTCCGGGGGCCCCCCTGCCCTTCCGTCTCCCGAAGCTGCGCGCAAGCCTCCGATGCGGTCCTTGGGCTACTTCCTGGGTGCTCGGGGCCCTGCCAGGCGGGGACAGCGACCTCAGCGTCTCGGCCTTGGGTTGCTGCCGCCTGTGTGTGTACCGAGGTCTTTGGGATAGGAGACCCTGGTTCGTCGCCTTTTGCCAGCCAGGGAAGACAGAAGCGGTACCCGCCCCCCGCAGTTCCCAGGCGCACCCCCCCCCCCCCCCCCGCCGCGGGGAAGGAGGTCACAAGGCGACAGGGCCCAGGCGTGGCGGCCGGGAAGGAAATATTTCTGGCTGAGCAGAGTGGCCTGTGCTGGCTTCCTGGCAGCCAGAGCCGAAGGCTCCTCGGCGGCCCTGGCATCGGCGGTGTGAGTCGGTATTTCTGGAGAGTGGAAGGGGAAGGCTGCCGCAAGGGCTGGGCCGCCCAGCGCGAGTCCAGGCGGCGGCACTCCCGGGCGCGGGGCTGGGGCCCATGGACCTTGTCAGGCCCTAACGCTTGCCTGGGCTCCCCGTAGCTTGTCGCAGGTGCAGGGCGTGCACACTTCCTACCTCGGCCCCGTGCTGCCCTGGGCGGTGAGCAGTGGTTCGAGCCCCTCCGGGGCTTGGGTCGGAAACCTCAGGCTCCCCCTGCCCTCGCCCCCTCCCATCCAGACTATTGCTGGGGCTCCTGGCCTGCACCTGCTTGGTTGGCGATGAAGCCCGCCAGCCGGGGGTGCACCATGTGTGCCCTCTGCTCAAGAACCCTGCAGGGCTCCCTCCCTCGGAGCCAGGGACCCCCCCCCCCGACCTGCTTCACTCACCCCGCCCTGGCCACATTGGCCTCACCCGGACCAGGCTCGCCCAGCGCAGCCTCAGGCCCCACGGCCTTTGCACACAGGCCCTTCCTCCCGGCATCCTGACCGCTCCTGCCACAGCCCTCCCTGGTTCTCTGCACAGCTCCTGCTGACAAGGCCACCTGCTCCCACGGCGTGGCGCGCACAGACAAGGGGCTTGGTCCTGGGAGCCGGAGGTGGGGGAGGCAGGGCGGTGGCTCCCAGGCCCCTCCTGGCAGGGTCCGCCCGCCTCCTCTTGGTCCCCGCTGTGTGAGGCCGGATCCGGGCCACGCGGCGGGTGCTTCCCCAGCGGGCCACAAGGGGGCAGTGGCGAGCGCCGCAGCCTCCGCAGACGCTGTCCCTGCATGCCGGGCTCCCTGTTACCGGCCCTCAGCCTGTACGTGTCCTGAGCGCGGGCCCTCCACGGCCACGGCCCGGATTCCAGGAGGCCCGGGGTGCGCAGCCCCGCTGCTTCGCTGGAGTCAGCCGGGCGCTGTGTGTTGTGCTAGGACCGGCATGCCGGGGTGGGGTTCTGGGGTCACCACTCTGGTTGTTGTTCAGAGAGGCTGGGTACCGCGTCCAGGGCCTCACAGGAGCCTGCCTGCCCTCGAGCCTGGGGCAAGGTGAGTGTGGCTGGGGGCAGGGCCACCGCTGGCTCTGGAGCCCCCCAGTGTGCTCCAAGAACCCAGGTGGCGGCGAGCCCATTGCCATGTTGGGTTACGGTGTGGGACAGCTGGGCTGTCCCCAGGCCGCTGCCCCCGTGGTCTGGTCAGCTGTTGCTTTCCCTCTGTGGGGCAGTGCCCTGGGCCAGGGAGCCAGGGCCTGATGGCCAGAGCGCCTGCCCCACAGCGGAGCTGGGGCTCTGCTGGTGTGGGGAAAGGCCCACGCCGCAGGTGTCAGGAAGGGTCTGGCTGGGCAGGGTTCCGGGCAGAGTACAGCCTGTGCAAAGGCCCTGGGGCTCGCTCATTTGCTCACCTCTGCCCGAGCCAGGGCTTGGAGAGCAGCAGGTCCTGTCTGTCTGTCTGTGTGTCTTTCCTGCCGCGGCCAGCAGTGTCTTCACGGCACAGTGGGCGGAGTGGGCCCTGCTCCTCAGCGGGGGCTCTGGGCCCCTCATATGGGGTGGGCTTCAGCCCCGCCAGGCCACGCCCTGACCCTGTGCCCCCACCAGTGGCTGCTGGCTGGGCCCTGGAATTTCGGGCCTTTGGGTGAGAATTCCTTGCAGGCTGGTGGCGCTGTCACCGCAGAGCCGCGCCAGGCCCCTGCCCTCGCCCTTGTCCCGCGCCTGTGGGGCCACACCCCTGCCTGTGGCCCCCCTTCACCTGCCGGCCACAGCCCCTTCCCCCTGCCCTCGCTGTGATTTGCCCCTCCCCCCACAGGTCTGGGGCCTGCGTGTGCAGCAGTGGGGGGCCCCAGGGTCGGGAAGGCCCGGGCCGGGGGTCTCTCCTAGGAGGCCCTGGGACCTTGGCATTCTCTGTGATGGCTTCCTGGGGCCTGGGGCACTGCTGCTGCCCTGGCAGAGCCCCGGCCGGCGGCGCGTGCGTGGCCGGCACCTGCCAGTGCCCACCCCAGGCGCCCCCTATGCCTCTGCCGCCTCCCACGTGGCCCAGCGCAGACTTGACTTTCCTGCTCTAGTTTGAAAGGACAGAAGCACCAGAAACAGGGCCACACGGGGTCCTAGGTGCCCCCCGCCCCTTCTCCTGCTGGGGCCCTGGCCCGGGGGGCACCTCCCATCCCTCTGGCCCCTGGGGTGCTTACCCCTCGGCTGGCCTGGACGCTCCTGCTGCCGCGGCGGTGTGCGCGGCCCCTCTCCCAGCTGCCCTGAGTCCTGCCCCGACGGCCGGGCCCTGGTTCTGCGCCCGGAGCCAGGGCGAGAGGCTTAGGTTTCAGCCCGCCCTGCAGCAGCTGGCCAGGGCAGCCAGAGGGGCTGGTTGTATTTTAAGCTATTGAGTGGTTCAGCAGGAACTCGGAGCCTCCCGGCTCCGTGGACGTGTGCTGCCTTCCCGCGGCGGGGCGGCCAGGGCTCTGAAGGTATGTGTGGGCACTGCCCGCCCCGGGGCCGGGCAGCTATTAATACCACTGTGCCCGCTCTGCGTGCCCCCGCCCTTCCCCACACCCTGGTGTGGGCCTCATGCTCCAACATGGCCACCAGGGCAGGGCAGGACCCAGGGTGGGCCACAGGGGCTCAGCAGGCCTGGGAGCGGCGCACCCACACGTGGAGTGCACAAATCAGTCTCTCTTGGGGCCCCGAGACTGCCCCTTTCTGACAACTGGGGTGGTGGGCCTAGTCCCTGGGGCTCCCTCCCTTCCGGCTCGGGGTCTGGGGAGAATAGAACCTGGGTGAGGGCGTGGTGTTGGACGTTGGGCTGGGTTCAGTGGGACGTGTGCCCTGGATTGAAGGTGGCCTTGAATGAGGTCCCTGGGGAGCAGTGTGGGGGAGGTGGGAGGGTGGGCAGAGGAAGAGAGAGCTGGGGAGCAGAGCCGAAGGCTGAGGCTGTGCCAGCCTGGGGGGGGGGGGCGCTTGCCTGAGCGGCCCTGCTCCTGTGCACAGTGACCCCGGAATCTGTCACCTCCTTGGGAACACGGATGCACAAGGAGAATAATCCCGAATGTCCCTTTGCAACTCAGAAGGGGAAATGCATGAGCCGTCTCATGGATTCTCAAAATAGCTGGAGAGTCTCCAGGCCCAGTGACTGCTCTGGGCCCAAGCTGGGAGCTGGGAGCTGGGAGTGGGGTGCGGGGTGCGGGGGCCTGAGCCGGCTTCACCCTCCTCCTCTGGCCTCTGGCGAGCCCCAGACCCCCCAGCCCTGGGTCTCCTTGTGCACTTGGAAGCCTGTCTGGGGCTCGCAGCGACCCCGGGGTCTGGGGCTTGGCTCCTGGGGGGCTCCCTGGGGCGGTTTTATATTTAGCTGGGCCACACTCTGGTACCACTCGGATTACATCTGGCACAGAGGCCGGCAGTGCTGGGCCGGGGCCGGGGCCGGGGCCTGGCGCGGGCTCCCTTCCAGCACCGCGGCAGAATTTGATCACGCCTGGCCAGGCCCGGCCCAGAGCGGCTGAGCGTGGGGAGGGCGGTGGTGGGGGCTGACGGCCGGCAGCTGGGGCCACTGGCCTGGGCGTGCAGAGCAGGACAGCAGGGCCGTGTGTGGTGGGTGGCATGGACCTCAGCCTGAGCCTGGTGACCCGGGAGCCCAGCCCGAGCCTGGGCCCCAGCCTCAACGGCTTCCCCAGGCCTGCGCCCCCCAAGACGGCCAAGAAACCTAAAAAGGCCGTTCTCTTCTTTGAGGTGGAGATCCTGGACGCCAAGACCAGGGAGAAGCTGTGTTTCCTGGACAAGGTAGGCCGCACCAGCTGCGCCGGCCAAGGGCACAAGGCCTGGGACCTGCTCCGGGGGCGCTGTCCAGCCCTCCTGCTCGTGCCCCACCCCCTGCCCTCCCGAGGGCCCACGAGTGGCGCTGTCCCCACCTGGGGTACGGTGGGCAGCTGTGGCTTCGGGCCTGGGAAGGAGGTGGAGCCTGGGGGGAAGGGGCTGGGAGCCGGGGGGGGGGGGGTGGAGAGGAGACAGAGCCGCCCCCTGGCTTCCCAGCGAGGACCCACAGCTGTCCCCGCCCTGGCAGGCCCCCAGCCCAGCCCCGCCTGGTCTCCAGGCTCTGCTCCCCCAAAGCTGACTCGGTGCGGTGCCTCCGCAGGTGGAGCCCCAGGCTACCATCGCAGAAATCAAGAACCTCTTCACCAAGACCCGTGAGTCAGGGCCCCGCGGTGCTCCCCCGGCGGCCCAGGGAGGCCGGGCTCCGACGCCAAGCTCCTGCGCTGGGCACTCCTTGGCCTGAGGCCAGGCCCCGCAGGCCGCGTCTGAGCTGGCTGTCCCCCTCCCTCCCGCAGACCCGCAGTGGTACCCCGCCCGCCAGTCCCTCCGCCTGGACCCCAGTGAGTACAGCTGTCGCGGGCTTGGGGGGCGGGGGGAGCCGGCCTGGGCCGCCCCTGAGCCCCGGCCGCCCTCCCCCTCCCCGCAGAGGGCAAGTCCCTGAAGGACGAGGACGTGCTGCAGAAGCTGCCCGTGGGCACCACGGCCACGCTGTACTTCCGCGACCTGGGCGCGCAGATCAGCTGGGTGACGGTGAGTGTGCGCCGCGGCCCCGCCCTCCGCCGGGGGGGGGGGGTGTGCGGGGCGGGGCCACTCACGCGCCGATGCCCGCAGGTCTTCCTGACGGAGTACGCGGGGCCGCTCTTCATCTACCTGCTCTTCTACTTCCGCGTGCCCTTCATCTATGGCCACAAATACGACTTCACGTCCAGCCGGCACACGGTGGTGCAGTGAGTGGGGGCGGGGCGGGGCGCGGCGGGGTGGGGCGGGGCACGGCGGGGGCGCCAGCCGCGCTGAGCCGGCTCCCCCCGCAGCCTCGCCTGCATCTGCCACTCATTCCACTACATCAAGCGCCTGCTGGAGACGCTCTTCGTGCACCGCTTCTCGCACGGCACCATGCCGCTGCGCAACATCTTCAAGGTGGGAGCCCCGCCCGCGTCCGCCCGCCCGCGCCCCCCGGCCCCGCCCCTGGCCCAACCCTGCGCGCTGCCTTGCAGAACTGCACCTACTACTGGGGCTTCGCTGCGTGGATGGCCTACTACATCAACCACCCCCTCTACACGCCACCCAGTAAGTGCCCCGGGCCCGTCCCCGCGCCCCAGCCCCTCCCCCTGGGCTCCCCTCACGACCACCCCACCCTGCTTCCCTGCAGCCTACGGAGCTCAGCAGATCAAGCTGGCGCTCGCCATCTTCGTGGTAAGGAGGCTGGGGGCGGGTGGTGGGTGGTGGGTGGCGGCGGGGGCTGGGGCGCTCGGCCGACCCTGCTGCTCCTGACAGATGTGCCAGCTCGGCAACTTCTCCATCCACATGGCCCTGCGGGACCTGCGGCCGGCCGGTGAGTGGCGGGCGGGGGCGGGGCCGGGCCCGCTCCCCTGAGCCCGGGGGCGGGGTCCGAGTCGCCCTTCCATCCTGCCGCCAGGGTCCAAGACCAGGAAGATCCCGTACCCCACCAAGAACCCCTTCACGTGGCTCTTCCTGCTGGTGTCCTGTCCCAACTACACCTACGAGGTGAGCCCCCCGCCCCGGCTCCCACGCAGCGCAGCGCAGCGGGCGGGGGCTTGGCGGGATCTGGGGACGGGGACCGCGGCCCGCCCTCAGCCGCCATCTCTGCGCAGGTCGGCTCCTGGATCGGCTTCGCCATCATGACCCAGTGTCTCCCAGGTGAGGCCTCGGCCGGCGCCCGGCGGGGGGCCCCCCCCCCCCCCCACGGCCGGGCGGCCCCTGACAGCCCGCTCTGCCCCACAGTGGCCCTCTTCTCCCTGGTGGGCTTCACCCAGATGACCATCTGGGCCAAGGGCAAGCACCGCAGCTACCTGAAGGAGTTCCGCGACTACCCGCCTCTGCGCATGCCCATCATTCCCTTCCTGCTCTGAGCGCGCCCCCGCCCGCCGCGGCGCGCCCCCGCAATAAAATCTGCTGGCCGCCACGGGACTCGTGCTCTGTGTGTGTCCCTCCGTCCGTCCGTCCTCCCGCAGGGGCCTGGGGACCGCCAGCCCTCCCCACCACCCCCGGCGCAGTAAGAGGGCTCGGGCGACGGGGCCTGCACGCCTTTATTCCTGTGCCGGCCCGCGGGGCTGCGGGCTGCGGGCGCCCAGCTACAGGGCCACCTCGGGGCCCAGCTCCCCTGAGCCCTGGCCGGAGGCCGCCGCCGCCTCCCGCTGCGCGCGCCGCTTCCTCCGCTGGAGCAGCCGCCGCTCGCGTTCGAACTCCTTCATGCGCTTCACGTAGCTGGGGAGGGGACAGAGGCGGAGGGTCAGGGGTGGGGGGTCGCGGCCAGCCCGCCCGGCCTCCCCGCGGGGCGGCGCTCACTCGAGGTGCTCGCAGTGGTCCCAGGCGTGCCGCTCGTGCTCGCAGGCCAGGAAGTTGGGGAAGTGGTCGCGCTTGCACTTGAGCAGCCGGATGAGGTGGTGCGCGCAGTAGTCCCGCTGCTGCAGCGTCAGCTGCGCCTCGTTCATCTGCTGCTGCGTGGCCACCATCTCTGCGGGGCAGGGGGCTCAGCGGGGGCAAGGCCACACTCCCCACCCCCCATCCGCCGCCCGCCACGCCCCAGCCCAGCCCCTGCCCCGTGCCCGGCCCAGCGCTGCCAGGCAAAACCCGAGCCCGGACCAAAGCAACCCTCTGAAGGATGGGGGGCGGGGGGTGCTGGGAGACCCCAGCCCCGCGCAGCACCGGGACATCAGGCCTCTTCCTCGTTCTCCTCCGCCCGCCCGCTCTGGTCCCTAACTCAGCGCCGGCCAGCCGCAGGGCCCTGCGGGGGGCGGGGGGGGGGCGGGCGGGGGATGCGGAGCTGTGGCAGGTGCCCAGGAAGAGCACGCGCATGCGCGCTGCCACACAGCGACAGGTGAGGGGTGGGGACAGGAGTGAGAGTGTCCTAGGGCTGCTGGCCGTCTCTGAGAGGTCCATTAATGCCGGTGTGGAGGTGCCCAGTGGTCGGGGATCTGGAAGTCAAGTTCAGGGTCAAGGCCAGGACATGAGGCACAAGTTCAGGTGCACCCGCGTGCAGAAGGCACCTGAAGCCAGGAGATCCCACCTCCCCTACAAACACACACACAAAACAACCCCTGGCCGGGCAGTGGTGCGCACAAGAGGGAAGATTCGAGCTTTGGGAACCCAGAAGGGGAGGCGAGTTATAACTGGTGGGCTTGGGCCGGCGCTGTGGCACAGCGGATAAAGCTGCCGCCCTCGCCAGTTCGAGTCCCGATTGCTCCACTTCCGATCCAGCTCTCTGCTGTGGCCTGGGAAAGCAGTGGAAGATGGCCCAAGTGCTTGTGCCCCTGCACCCGTGTGGGAGACCCGGATGGAGCTCCTGGCTCCTGGCTTCGGATCGGCCCAGCTCTGGCCATTGCAGCCATCTGGGGAGTGAGCCAATGGGTGAAGGATCGATCTCTCTAACTCTGCCTTTCAAATAAATAAATCTTTAAAAATAAAATAAACAAATAAATAGACTGACGGCCATGCCGGCTGCCCCAGGCTGCGCTGCGTGAGCGCGGAGGACAGGCCACGGGGGTCAGCGATGCGACGGGGGCGGGCCCACAGGGGCTTCAACCAGGGCAGAAACAGCGGCGTACTGGCACGCGGTTGGGCTGTAGAAGGGAGCCGCCCTTGGCCAGGTGAGGCGAGGGGCCGGCAGGCGGGAGGCCCCGCGGTGCTCTTTCCCTCCCTGGCTCGGAAGCTCAGGCTTTGCCCTCTCCGGTCTGAACAACGCCGACTCCGCCTCCCTCCCGTCCAGCCGCTACCTCCAGGAAGCCTGCCTTGATATCCCCCCCACCCCCCATCCCAGGACGCGCCTGGGTCCAGGGCGCTCCCCACTGGGCGCACCGGGCAGCCCCCTTGTACTCTCTCCTGCATCTCCAAACGCGGGCACGGCGGCCGCGTCCCTTCCGCGGCGAACGCCCCCAAGCTCCGGCCCCAGCCGCACGCATGGAGGACGGGGCGCCGCGCGTCCTCGGAACCCACCAGAGGGGAGCCGGACAGAGACGCAGAAACTCCCGCCCACCCCGGGGCCGCGGGTCTGGTGGTGGTGGGGCACCCGCCGCCCGCGCCTGCGCACTGGGCCTCACCGCGCTCCTTGCGCTCGGGGAAGCCGTAGTCCGGCGAGAAGGTGGGCATCCGCAGGGGGTCGGGCTCCGAGGACGAGTCCCCCACGTAGCGCCGGGCCAGGTGAGCCCCCATGGCTGCTGTCGCCGCAGGTCCCCGCAGCAGCCGGGGTCACCTCGCTCCTGCCCGGAAGTACTGCCTCTTGTCAGCCGCGACTTCCGGGTCGCTCAGGCTGCAGTGGGGGATCATAGAGATGAGCCATCGGGCCTCCCGTTTTGGGCGCCATCTGGCGGTCGGATGGGGGAACGACAGACATTGTTTCCTCCCCGGAGCTAGTGTGGGATGTGGGGTTTTAGTCTGAAAATCCATCTGCGCCGGAAGTGGGGTCGTGTGGGCCTAGCGCCTCCCCAGCCCCACCCTTTCTGGGGCGCCGCTGGTATCCCGAGGCCAGAGCACAAATGAAAATTATTTTCTATATCATTTTTCAACAACAACAACAAAATCACAGTATCATGTTATGAGGATATTTCCAAAGGTTTCGGGGAAAAATAAAATTAGATAGCTTTGTTTTGGTGCAAAATATTTGGAAGTATCTTCAAAAAAGTTCATGGAAATGAGGACAGAAATCCACGCCGAATTTGAATGAGTGTCGTGGAAAAGCCGCGGGGAATTCAACAGTCATTTCCTGTGAACTTTTTGAAGACTTCCAGTATGGATGGACTTTTTTTTTTTTTTTTTTTGCACCGGAAGTGCCACAGCCGGGTAAGCCACACTTGGACACGTTAGTATCCCTTACCTGAGTGCAATTTCCAGTCCTGGCAACTCCACACTTCCCGCTCCCTGCCAATGTGCACCTGGGAGGCAGCAGGTGATGGCTCAGGTTCCTGGGCCCCTGCCACTCCACATGGGAGACCCGGATGCAGCTCCTGGCTCCTGGCTTCAGCCTGGCCCAGCCCTGGCTGCTGGGGAAAGAACCAGCGATGGCCGATCACTCTCTCTCTCTCTTCCTCTAAATAAATAAATCTTAAAAAAGGAAAAATGTTTGCACCAAAGTAAATTCCTCTTTTAATTCCATTTTGCCCCTCACATGCTGAAATACTCTTGTACATAAAGTATCAAAATAATAAATAAAATTAAAGTCTTTTAATCAATGAAATTTATGCAAATATTTATAAGAAAAGCTCTATATAGCTGGAATTTTAAATAAATCCTATTGAAAGTTTTTTGCAAAAATAAGATAAGTTGCAATTCTGTTGATTGCTATTGTAAAGAGTGGCACTGGGGCTGGCAGTGTGACCTGTGACGCTGGCATCCACTATGGGCCCCAGCTGGAGTCCCGGTTTGCTCCACTTTCGATCCAGCTCCCCGCAGACAGCCTGGGAATGCAGCAGACAATGATTCAAGTCCTGGCTGTGGCGGCCATTTGGGGAGTGAATCAGCAGGTGGAAGATTCTCTCTCTCTCTCTCTCTAATTCTGCCTTTCAATATATAAATAAATCTTTTAAAATATTTCTAAAAAAGAAAGAATTTGCCTTGCCTTTCACAAGCTGTTGAGGTTAAAGCTCCCTTATATGCGAATTTAAGAGTGTGACACATTGTTGGCCGGCGCTGTGGCTCAATAGGCTAATCCTCTGCCTTGCAGCGCCAGCACCCCGGGTTCTAGTCCCGGTTGGGGTGCTGGATTCTGTCCCGGTTGCTCCTCTTCCAGGCCAGCTCTCTGCTGTGGCCCGGGAGTGCAGTAGAGGATGGCCCAAGTGCTTGGGCCCTGCACCCCATGGGAGACCAGGAGAAGCACCTGGCTCCTGCCTTCGGATCAGCATGGTGCGCGGGCCGCAGCGCGCCAGCCGTGGCGGCCATTGGAGGGTGAACCAACTGCAAAAGGAAGACCTTTCTCTCTGTCTCTCTCTGTCACTATCACATTGTTTCAAAGCGGCGGCAACTCCAATGCTGTGCTCCTGTGTTACCCAGGAGCCAGGAGCTCCATCCTGGTCTCCCAGGTCAGTGCCAGGGACCCAAGCACCTGGGCCACCACCTGCTGCCTCCCAGGGTGCATTAACAGGAAGTTGGGGTCAGGAGCCCCAGCTGGGAGTCGAACCCAGGCACTGTGGTGTGAGATGCAGGTGTCCCCAGTGGTGTCTTAACTGCTTGGTCAAACGCCCACCCCCAACATGGGGTTTTAAATCCCACTTGTTTTAAATCCCCTCCCCCCACCCCAAATCCCAAGAGCAGTGTGTCTGACTCCTGACTTCTGGAACCTGTAATTATGCACTTATTTGGGAAAAATCTCTTTGCAGATTCATTAAATTAAGGATCTTGATTTCCTCCCAGGCGGCTTGGCTGGATCCTAAATTCCCAGACAGGCTTCCTTCTTCTAGAAGATTTGACACTGACAGAGAAGACACAATGGACCACTGAATTTTGATTAACAATGTTTAAAAAGATTTATTTATCTGGAAGGCAGAGCATGAGAGAGAGAGAGAGAGAGAGAGACAGAGACAGAGAGAGGTCTTCCATCTGCTGGGTCACTCCCCAAAATGCTCACAGCAGCCAGGGCTGGGCCAGGCCAAAGCCCGGAGAGCCAACAGTGCCATTTGGGTCTCCTACATGAGTGGCAGGACCCCAAGTCCTTGAGCCGTCACCACCTGCTGCCTCCCAGGTGCTTTGGCAGGAAGCTGGATGGGAAATGGAGCAGCTGGGTCTCGAACTCTTGTTGCAGTATGAGATGCTGGCGTCGCAAGCAGCGGCTTAACTCACTGTACCACAACACTGTCCCCCCATCCCCACCCAAGCATGCATTTTAAAATGTAGCAGTTGACTATTTCTGGAACTTTCCAATGACTTGGCAGATGACTGGAACCCCAGAAAGCAAAACTACAAAAAGGGCGGGGCTGATG